CAATCTCCCAGTTTATCCCAGAAAACATTTGCTTTTTATCTGCTGAACGATTCTCTAAGGCAGACTCTCTCAGAGACTCGCCCACATGGATCACAGCTTCATTGGCTTTCAGATCAAATAGTTTAACTTCCGGGTCAAACCATGGATGCTAGAAGAAGCATATATTTTTCTTTATCTGCTAGGGATGTCTGTATTTATCCAATTGTTCCCTCCTTTTTATAGTTTCATCTTCTTATGTCTTATAGTTTATTGTTGGTGACTTCAGATTGCTTTGGGAAATAGGTAGTGTGTCAACAAAAATAAATAAACTGCATTCTACTTACTTAGCAGCTGGAACATATGAGACTCTTGGAAATGGGTATATGGTATAACCCGAGCACCACCACCACCATTTTATTTCTAGAATACAACATGCAGAAATTAATGTTTGGCTCCTTCTGCCCCCTTATGTAGACCTAGCCCATCATCACCAGTGCATGCTGGGAATTTGTAAAAGCCCCTCCAAGGGATGTCAGAAACCATATGATAGAACAAATGGGAAAATGATATTTTAGCCAAAGTGCATTTCTTCTTGTTTACCAGAGGATTCATACAAGAAAAAAATTCTCTAAATGTGATGAACATGGAAAAGGTGATTTTCAGAGGCCAAATTTTCACTGTAGAAATAAATTCCACCCAGGGAAGGAACCTCACACATACTATAGGCATAGTCAGTGTTTTGACTGGCATTGCCATGGTAACAGTCACCCATGAGGCCATATGGAAAGTAGTTCCGTCAGGATGTTGTGGAAGTTACACGGCCACGAATAACTGCTAGAGATCTATTGTACAGCAGAGTGCCCAGAATTAACGCTACTGTATTGTATACCCAAATATTTGCTACAAGGGTAGATCTTATAAGTGTTCTTATCCTCAGGCAGGAGGAAATTTTGGAAGTGATGGATAGGGATTGTGGTGAGGGTTTCACAGTATATACTTATCTCTAAACTCATCAAGTTGTGCACATGAAATATGTCAATCACACCTTAATAAAGTGGTTTGAATAAAAAAAGATGACGTGGGTGGAGGAGGCTTTAAGCACAAACCTCCTGCGCTCCAGAAAACCAAGACAGGCTAAGAATCATGGGTCACAGGAGCCGTAACTCAGATGCTTTTGGGGCCAGGCAGGGAGTGTGAATGACTGAAACAAGCCAGCGTGAGCTGACTCCAACCAAGGGTTACTCGGCAGAACGGTGGAACCAAGATGGCTTGATCTCCTGGTTTTTTAGGAAAAGCAGGAAATCCAGACCTTTATGGGAATTCTTCTAATTATGAAATGTTGGTAACTAATATAAAAACTTGTAAATGCTACTCACAGCAAACAGGCTCCCAGGTCTCCAATTTGTACCTCTGAGCTCAGAGGATAGGATTCAGAGGATGCTAATTCTCTCACTGAGATCCAAGAGGCCATGTTAGCAAGAAACCCTTTTAGTGAGGTGAACAGAAGCCTCTGGGAAAACTTCAGCCCTTTCTGCTCCCCAGAGAATCTACCCAGGAGAAACACCTTCCCCCTGCACCACATTCCTTCCACTTCACTGGCTCTCCCATTTAGCTTGGCACTGCCTGGGCCCTGCCTGCCCCAGCTCCATCATCACCTGCCATTTTGACACTCTGCTTCCCCTTCCTGACCTCAGCAGCTCCCATGGGTGCTGTTCCACTGTGTGTCCTCAGGCCCCACACCATGACCCAAGATCCTCTGCTTCCCTCCTGGCCCCTTGGAAGGCGCCAGCCCCTCTGCTGCTTGCTAGTCTCCCACCAGTGAAGCCTGGTGGAAAAAAGGTGGGGAGAACTGAGTGGAGCTGCTGTTCATTTGAGTGATAACCATGATTAATGGGTATTTGTAGATCAGATGACAGTTATAAAAGGGCATACACATTCATCACTTCATTTTATTCACACAAACATCTTCTGAGACCGCAGACCATTGACTACTTTATAGTGATGGGAACTGAGGGACAGTGCAACAAGAGGACGAAGCAGGTGACTAGCTCATCACCAGCCCATCAGGGTGAAACTATCCACAGAAGGAGTTGTTGCTTTTGGGGAACCTTCCTGAGTGTCTCTTCCAGGAGGAGTCTTTGACAGAAAGATGTATATCTGCGTTCTTGGAGGGACTGGAGCTCTGGGGTCATGAGGACAGGTTGGCCAGTCCTGGCTTCAGCCACAAGCATCATGCTGACTCCCTGTCACTCTACCTTCTCCAACCGTGCATATCCAATTGGAGAGTGACACGGCTCCAGTTTACTAGGGAGCTCCTCAAAATTCCTATGGGGCAGAATGGTGCTTCAGTAACAGGGCCTCCTCCAGCAACTCAACCAGTGGGAATCACGGGGATCCATGGACGGATCTGCTGTCAACATTTCTGTTTTCTCTTTGGGCAGTCAAGTTATTCCCAGGCCTAATCCTCAGTGTTCCCCATCTCCAAAACCACAAAGACCAAACTCACTGGAGTAGCAACCAAGGTCTTTCAAAAGCTGGCTCAACCTCTTATTCTGGTTTCATATTTTGCCCCAAAATTAGTTTCTTGGACCTCATTATAACATGTCAAGCAATTCTCTGAAGCATTTTCAGGAACTGAGGACAAAAGACCAAATATTATAACAAAAGATGTTTCCCCAAGCTTTTATCACTCAGGAAGTTCCAAGTGTTTGGGGAGCTGTAAGCCAGGAACTGTGGATGAAGACCAAATATATATGAGGAATATATTTTTGTCATCTGAATGACCAAATATATACATTTCTTATAAATCACAATATGGCAGCCCCCATCCCTGGGCCCTCCTATTTCACATACTCTATAGTCTATGCTCTAGCTACATTGTGAATCCCTAATGCCCAGTTATGCCTTTTACTTATGCTGTTCCCTTTGCCCAAAAACCTCTCCCCTAATATCTTTGTCTTGCAAGCTCCTATTCATCCCTCAAGACCTAGCTCAAATGTCCCCTCCTCTTGAGAGTCTTCTCCAGCTCCCCTCCTGAGAGAGTTTTCTTTCCTTTTCTTTGAGCTTTCACAGAATGTGCTTCATTCCTTATCACCTTATACTTATTATAAGTATTAATTACTTCTCTGTATCCCTTGCTTGGCTGTGAGCTCTTGAGGGTCTTTGTATCTCAAACTGCCCCTGGCACATGATGGATAACTAAACTGTGTTTGTCGAATGAGAGAGAGAAAAGTAATCCGACAGTAATATTACCATTTACTGAAAACATCAGTCATGTGCCAGGTGCTGGGTCAACATTATTTTTAATCCTCACATCAACCTTGTGAGTTAGATTTTATGATCATGGGGCATAGAGTGGTTAGGTAACTTGCCCAAGGACACACAGCTAGCAGATAATGAGCAGAAATTTGAGTGCAGTGTGATTCTTCCAAAAGGCAGTGCTGCTTCCTGTTCCTCCTACCCAGCCAAAGTCCCTGCCCTTCCATGTGCTCGAGGATTCTGAGGGCTTCCCCCTCCTCCCATCACTGCAGCTCCCTCCTGCTGAAAGGTCCTGGAACACAGGGGTCCAGCGTCCCCTGGCTAGACTCAGAGACTCTTCTCCAGCTCACCCGGCCTCATGTTTGAGGCCAAGGGAGGGAAGAGATGCAAATGACAATGGGAAGAGCTGGTTCCACTAAAAGTTGTGGGATTTGAGAAGTCCAGATGGTACTGTACAGCACCCACTTGACAACAAAGAATGATGTGAAAAGGAGAGAGAGCCTCCTCCTCACCTCTCAAGGAACCAACACCTGCATACCAAGGGCTCAAGAACACAGCTCAGCCTGGCTCTGTGAGGGCAGCCCCCAGGCCATGGCTTCAGTGGGGCCAGTAGAGGTAAGAGCACTTAATGCCCAGGGACTCCAGAAGGACACGACCTCCAGAGACGGTGGCCATGGGCACCTGCTGCTCTGAAGATTCAGGAGGCCACACCAATAGTGCAGGTGGTGTGACATGCTCGGGAGCCCAGGGAGACAGGACTTTGGCAGGGAGAGTAGGGCATTCACAGAGGGCCCGGGCTGTACCCACCAGTAAGGGGGCAGGGCAGAGGAGAAGGCAAATGATGAAGGGTCATATGACAGGACCTCTGGAGAGTCTCCCAGACATAGCTGGGAACAATTCTGAGATGGAAATACCGCAATAGCACGTGGCAGAAGAACCAGAGAGATACTGTGTGTTACTGTTAACTGGTCCTATTTTTACCCCCAGTACACTTAGGTGTAGGAAAACACAGGTTGATATGCATCTTCATGGATCTTATTGTATATCCTATACAGTATTGCTTTTATTTCATTCACTCATTTACTCACTCAGCAAGTATTTTTTCTACTCCAGATAGGGTTTTACAACTCACACAGCCATTAGCAGCATAACGGTATACCAATTTCACTACAACTTCTCCAACCTGGGATGTAATAACTCTTTCATTTTGATGGTTAGTAGTTTTGTTCTATTTTGTTTAGTGGTTGCAAACTATCTCAAAAATCTAAGGATTGGCTCCTAACTTTTGTTCTTATTTCAGAAATGTGTATTTATGTAGATAAACATTTTTACAAAGTTACAAAAGTCAAAGCGTGTTCCATTATCCATGGAACAAATCACCTTTATTGAAAGGTCACAATTAGCCAAATGTAGGGCGTCACTGAGTATTGGGGAATGTGTGGTGTCACTGCCTTTTCTGCTGGCCTCCATCCTTCCCCAACCAGGCTGGTTGCAGCCTGAGGACCCTGCACCATTCTTTTTCTACATTGTTAGTGAGAATTAACCAGGGATGGCTTAGAAGTTCCCTAATCTTAGTGCATGAAAATAGACCAAATTAAGCTCGGTAAATGAAGGAGAAACTGCCTTTTTTTTCCCTCCCTGAATAATCCAAATAAACAGCATTTGACCCTTGTCAAGAAGTCTCTGAGTGTCATGATACTTGAATAAGGGCTCCAGCTCCTGGGAGCTTAACTCCATCTGTGTTTTTTGTTCTAAACAACCAGGGCCCTCCCACCGCAGGAATATCTTGCAGTCCACCCACCATCATCCTGACTGGGGATGCCAGTTCACCGGAAGAAGAAACTGACAAAAACCTGGTCAACAGGTAACCTCCTATTTGCCTAATCTGTGCTGTAAAGAGCAGTATTTCCTAGCATGTGCGGATTAGACAGCTCTATTTTTTACAAATCTTTTCTTCGTTCTTGATCATTTTATTGATGAAATACAATCAAGCAGTTTTTCAAAATGGGAGAGAGAGCTTGGGATTTTTCCATTATCTTTCCCCACAAATTATTTCTTCTCTCCTAGATTTGGCTCTTTGCACCTTGTTAACCTTTAAGAAAAGCACAGCTCATAGCAGGGGAGTTTTCTACGGTAACTGCTCAGATATTTTCAAACAGACCTAAAAGATGTGAATTTTTTACTAGAATCCTGCTTCTGGCCAAAGTGGGTCCTGTGGGGAAGATGATCTCTTGGAAGGGACACTGGCTCACATGCGCAGGGATGTCCCTGCCTCGGTTTTACACAGCACTAGCCCATGCATTGGTCTAGCTGGAATGAGATTTTCTAAGTTTAATTTCCAAAAAGTTACAAAGATAATTCTAATACAGATATATAGTGAGCATGTGTCAAAGATTTACTTAACTCATTAACGAGGGGACCATCAGGATAACAAAGCCAGCTCAAAGGAGGATACGAGAAATGGATGTACGTAGTATAATCAGTGAGGAGGAAAAGAAAGCTGGAATAAGATTGCTAAGTTAGAGACTTCCCTGGTGGTGCAGTGGTTAAGAATCTGCCTGCCAATGCAGGGGACACGGGTTCAATCCCTGGTCCGCGAAGATCCCACATGCTGTGGCGCAAGTAAGCCCGTGAGCCACAACTACTGAGCCCTCGTGCCACAACTACTGAAGCCTGTGCACCTAAAGCCCGTGCTCTGCAACAAGAGAAGCCACCGCAATGAGAAGCCCGCGCAAGGCAATGGAGAGTAGCCCCCGCTTGCTGTAACTAGAGAAAGCCTGTGCGCAGCAATGAAGACCCAACGCAGCCCCCCAAAATAAATAAATAAATACATCTTTAAAAAGAGAAAAAAAAAGATTGCTAAGTTAGATACAAGATAGGTTAATGTTTCACAGGGCAATGAAACCTTATTTTTATCTTTTCTCCCCAACAGAAATCATCTGCATCTCTACCAGGCAATTATTCACAGTTTATGAGTTTTCTGCAAGTTAGATATTCACTCAGAGTCTGAGCCCTAATAAATACTAAATCGTCAAAGTTACAAAGGGCAGTGGTTCGAAAACTTTGGAGAGCATCAGGATCACCTGGGTTTGGGGCCGGGGCTTGTTCAGTCACAAATGGTTGGGCCCCATCCCCAGAGTTTCTGATCCTGTCGGTGGGTGAAGCCTGAGAACTTGCATTTCTAACAAATTCCCATATTTTTTCGCCCTTGAAAAAATAACAAGCTTGTAAGATGATGCTCTAGGATGACTCTGAAAGATTATGCAAGCATCTGGTCTCCTATTTACCAGCTGTGGACAAATTTTCCTAACAAGATGACTCTGTTTGGTCTTTCAGAGCTCACAGTCCCCACAGGAGGCTTTCTCACCGACACCTGAAGGTTTCCACTGCTCCCCTGACTTCTGTGGGTAAGGGCTAGGCCGATTTGTCTTATTTCTGCCACCGGAGATAGGGGTCCAACTGAAGGTGTGTTTGAGTAGGAAGAAGACTGAGGTCTGGCAGCTTGGCTGGGCTTGGCCCCTTCCCCTCTTCTTCTTCTCAGATTAGTAGTCCAGAGGGGATAGTATCTGAGTTGTGCCTTAGAGAGTCGGACAGATAGACAAGAGGGAGGAAACGTCATTTGGGTGGAGGAAGCAATTGTGTTGCTGGGCAGGAGCCATAACAGAGCAATTGCGTGCTTGGCTGTGTGTCAGGACTCTTTCAAATGACAGAAACTCAATTAAACTAGCTTATGCCAAAACACATAAAAATAAATAAAAGCCAGGGTCTGTGTGTTCAGGGAGCGCTGAGCCCAGATGCTCATGTTGGGTCATTAGCAATCATCCCATCCCATCTCCCAAGTTTCCTCTCTTGTGTGTTGGCTTCCTTCTGGGCAAATGGCTACCAGCAACTTACATCCCTTCAGTGAAAAGAGAGCTCCTCTTCCCCATATACCCACCACCATTCTCAGAGTTGCCTCTCACTGGCCTCCATGGCCATCCCTGAACCAGTCACCCAGGGGGATTGAGCTCATTGGCTGGCTGAGGATGGTACGTGGTCCCCTTACTGGCACTTGGGCTGAGATGGGCAGTATTGTTTAGCTCCTTCCTAACATGACTGAGACTCAGACGAGTTTCACCCAGTGCAAACTGGGGAGCTATGACCAGAAGGAGGAGGAACGGAGGCTGGAGAGGCACAACGGGAGCCATTCACTACCAAGGGGCTGGAGGAGAGGAGTATGTGGGATCAGGGAAAGTGGCTGGGCGCAGTTTGGCATCTGGACGTCACACGGGGGACCAGGAGGAATCCTGATGAGCTGAGGCAGGAGAATCGCATGGTCAGATATGGCCCTTAGGAAGGTCACTGTGATAGGCAGTGGAGGATGGGAGGGAGCAGATAGCCTGGAGGTGGAGGGCCTATGAGGTGGCTGATGTAATTGTGCAGGTAAGTTACAGCTGATGAGCAAGAGTGGCGATGAGGCACAGGTTCCAGAGATACTTACTTGATGCTGAGTTGGTTGGACCTGGGGGCAGCTGAGGAAGAGGGAAGAGTGTGGAGTGACTCCTACGTTTCCGAGCAGCTGGGTGAGAGGTGGTGTCACTCACCCAGGGAATGCGTCCTGGAGAAGGGGCAGTTATGGAGAAGGATGGGGGTAAACAATGTGAGTAGAGGGAAAAAGGAGGGAAGGTGGCCATGGGGTTGTGTCTTTGGCCCATGATCTTTGGAGTGCTTCCTTTATCCACATATGTTAAGCTCACTATCTTGTTAAAGAAAGAGAGACCGAAGGAAGAACACTAGGGGAGCAGGTAGAACAGGTGGGTCTCCTGGTGGCCTTCCCTCATGGCAGAGTGGAGGACAGTACTGGGAACCTAGGTGGCTTCACGGCCATTTGTGACAGAGGACCTGCCACATCCACCGGCTACAAGCTGGAGGGGTCAGGCCTGCTGGGGGAGCCCTGGCTGTCCCCACGCAGCCCTCTCCAGGACCCGGCAATGGGCTGAGATTTGGCTGGCCAAGTCCCCTCTGGGCAGTGTCCCTGGGCTGAGGGGTAGGGACTGGGGGCAGGGCTGAGGTTGGGGACCAAGGATTCCGTGGCTCTCACGCCGTGCTCACCCCTCCTCTGCAGACCCTACGGGGCACATCATTGACCTGGTAAACGGCCAGCTGCCGGACATCAGCATCTCAGAGGAGGACAAGAAGAAAAACCTGGCGCTGCTGGAGGAAGCCAAGTCGGTGAGTGAGCGGTTCCTGACCCGCCGCGGGAGGAAGTCCAGGAGCAGCCCCGGCGACTGCCCGTCAGGTAGGACGACAGGAGGCCGCCCTGAGCCCCTCCGACGGGGGCGGGCGTTGGGGAGGGCCCAGCCCCAGATGCAGCAGGAGCCCTGCTTCCCAGGGGTGGCTCTCGACGCGCCTGCCCCCAGGCCTCTTGGGCCCGGGAGGACTGAGGCTCGTGGAGAGGATCCTGTGGGGAGAGGGCATCGCACCCCGTATCAGAAGCTCTGAAATACTGATCCAACTCTAGCCCAGAAAACTCTGCTTTCCATTTTTTGGGGTCTATGTGTGACCATTTTGTCTTCCTGCTTTGCCAAGAATTGCTAGCCCATATGACACCCATGAACTTGACCTGGGCTCCCCAGTCCCTGAACCCTGCCTGGAGAGAAACCCACTGTGTGATGCCCGAGTGCGCAGACTCCCGGGCCACCCTGCAGGGCTGGAGTCTGTGTGGTCTCCCACCATCCCCAGGAGGCCCTGCTCTGTGGGCACCTCCTCTGCAAAGGTCAGGAGAGGCTGGCCCTGGGCTTCCTCTCCCTGACCTCCAGCTGTGCCCCGGGAAGGATCCTAGGGAAGGGAAGTGTGGTCTTTGGTGTCTCTCTGGAATTTCTGGATTAGAAGAAAGGTTTTCTGAAATTCTCCTGCTATCCCTTTGGCTAAAGTCACTCTTTTTCTTGAGGAAAAAATTGGGGGAAGCTAAACAAGTCTGAATGTACTTAGGAGGGAAGGGGCACATTTGAAATCAGAGCCATCCTGGCAAGTCTAGGAGGTATAGCCTTTGGAGCTGTACCTGCCAAGCAATGCCAGGTCCTCTGTTTCTAGAAGGTGCTTTGGGGTGAGGCCAGGCAGACTTGAGGAGTGTGACCCCAATCACCCTCCCTCTCCCCCAAATGACCCCAGCGCCCCCTCTGTTGGGCTGGCAGCAGGGAGGCATTGGGCTGTGGTAGGAGCCTCATATGGAGTCCAGAATCAGCCCCTGAACCTGACGAGGCAGACCCAGTCCCCAGAGGCGAGAAATACCTGAAAGGATGTCTTTGTTAGGCTGAAGTCCTGAACCTTCACGAATGCTGGCCAATTTGTGTCTGTCTCCACAGCTGTTTCCCCAAACCTCAGCCCCGGAACTTTTCCTGGGTCCTCTCAGAGCAACTCCCTCACCGTCCCCAAGCGGCCTGGTGAGGTCCACCTCCCCCCCGAACCCCACGGCATTGCCCACTCTGGCTCCCCACCTTGGGTGGTGGCTCAGTCCCTCCCCTGGGCCCCAGGACTCCTGTCCTGCAGCCTTCCCAGTCAGGATGCCCGTTTGGTCCCCTCCCCAGGGGCCTGGCTGGGCTGCCTCAGAGGAGGAAGATGTGCTTTCTTTGGGGTTTCAAGCTAGCGTGGGGAGGTAGGCCTAGCCCAGGATGAGGATGGAGGGAAGGGGGCTATGGCTGGGGCCCTCTGCCCAGAGAGGACCTGGAGAGAGGTCACCTCAGAGCTTATTTGCAAAGGCCTCTATTTGGGCCACTCTCTGTGTTTTGACTGCTTCCCTTTCATTAGGCTGCGTTCAGGGCCACACCCTCAGCTCAGCCAGGGTAGGGCTGGGGTGCCAGGGAGAGCAGCCTACCCTTGTCAGAGCTGTGGGGCAAGCTCAGGCTCGGGCCAGGCAGCCCGGGTTCAGATCCCAGCGCTGACACTCCGGCTGTGTGGCCTTGATTTCCCCCTGCCCTGGCCTCATGTGGTTTCTGGGATGATTAGATGGGGACTCCCCACAGAGCCTGGCATTGTGAGAGGTACTCAACAAGCATGGGCATTACTGGCTCCTGGGCCCGAGGGACCCAAGGGAGGACACTCTGGGGAGGTAGATGCGTTTTTGCTAAAGGGACAGCTGAGGGTCTGGGGTGCTGGACATCACTTGCCAGTGTCTGGACCATTTTAGGTTTGGATGCGTGCAGTGGCCCAGGGTCCCCTCTGCCCGGAGCACCACCACAGGTAACGGGGCACCGTTTGGGGTTTCTATGTCAACTAGTCTCTCCTCTAACCCCTTAACACCTGAGAGGCCCTCCGTGACCCGCTGGAGGCGAGGGTGCTGGGTGGGGGAGACATCGACACCACTGTAAGGGTCTCCTTGAGGGCGTTTCAAGAGGAGGTTCAGCCTCTTCACGTTGCTGACTGACTCGTGTTTACTTTCTCCAGCAGAAGGGGGATGCGGCCGAAGTCTCTTCACCTCCCCTTGGCGAGCCTGTGAGTTTGAGGTCTGCCCAGTTTGGATGATTTGAGTGTGGGAGACACGGTGTCCCAGAAGCCTAGGCTGGCCCTGGGCAGCCTGCCAGTGGGTGTGCGTGAGTGGAAGGTCAAGGCTGAGGAAGCTAGAAGGTTCCTCTGCCCTACGGTGACTGGAAGCCTGAGGTGGAGGGGGTGAGGCTGTGGGATTCAGTGGGGATGACCTCCATGGTGGTCCTGCCCATAGTCCTACATTCCCAGTCAGGCTGCTGCCAGAGGCCGGGGGGACCACTGGGCCCAGCAACAGCCAGGGAAGACGGCTGCCCCCGTCAGCTCTAGTGAAAATTGCAGGAAAGCTCCAGCCCCTAGCTGGGACTCTACCTGGGGGCAGCCTGGAAAACTTCATCTCTGCTGACGAGCAAACGAAGAGCCCCACACCTGCTTAGAACCACCTGCTCAAGGTGGTGTCAGGGCAGCATAGAATATAATCTCATCTAGAACTGGGTCTGGGATAGAGTCCTCTGGTAGAGTTTCAGCACACACACAAGACAGCCACACAAATACCCAGACAGACACACGAACCTGCACCTCACAAAGCAGCTTTCCCTTGGGAAATGAAAGAAGAGCACAGAATCTTGGAACTTCTGAACAGCAAGCTATCAGCTTTGCAAGAACCCCCTTATTCAGTGATCTGTAACCTCTTTTGGATCATAGAACGCTCTGAGACATTGTTGAAAGCTATGGACTCTCTTCCCAGAAAAATACATACAACACACAAACACACATATACATTTGTATATAATTTCAGGGAGTTCGCAAACCTGATGGGAAATCTGAATCCCTAAGAGTTAAGGGCCTTGCCAGGCAGAGCTAGGACTAGAATCTGGGGCAACAGAGTCAAAGCCGAAGCTTGTGGCTGCACTCCATTCCACTGTCCTCTGCAGCGCCTAGCCCTTGGGAAGTTCTTGGCAGGTTTTGAATGGCAGGTCCCCTTATCCTGTCTGTTTTACAAACCTCAGTCTTGTTTGTAGGTCCCCTTTGCCGGCTCAGATGTGACTGAGAAGTCCTCCCTTTCTACCTAGCCCATACCTCTCCAACACCTCCCCACCCCTACACACACACACACACACACACACACACACGTACACACATACACGTGTGTGCACGTGCACGCGCACACACATGTGCGGGTCCCTTAGCAGGGTCCATGGGGTTAGAGACCCCACAGCAGAGGTGAATCCACCCTTCTCCCCTCCAACCTGCCCCCGGGGTCCCAGCTCTACCTTGTCTCTTTCAGAATGTCCTCAAAGGGCTAGCTGACCGCAAGCAGAATGACCAGAGGAAAGTGTCTCAGGGCAGGCTGACTCCTCGCTCTCCCACAGTTGAGAAGTCCAAAGAAATTGCAATAGAACAAAAGGAAAACTTTGATCCCCTCCATCGCCCAGAGGCCATACCCAAGGGCCCAGCTTCTGGCACAGGCAGTGGTGGGAAAATGGCCCTGAACAGCCCCCAGCCTGGCCCTGTTGAGAGCGAGCTAGGGAAGCCGCTTCTGAAGACAGCCAAGGAGGGCAACCCTCTGCCCAGAAGCCCAACCCAGGGCTCTGGAGGGGCGGCTCCCCAGTCCCCCCAGGGGAAAAGTACAGTCGGAGAGCCCACAGGGTCCAAGGTTGGCTCCAAAGCTGAGCTGTGGCCCCCTGTGTCCCGGCCGCCCCTGCTGCGGGATGTCTCCTGGGACAGCAGTCCCGAAGAACCCGGCCCCCGGCTTCAGAAAGTGCTTGCCAAGGTGCCGCTGGCAGAGGAAGAGAAGCGTCTTTCAGGCAAAGCTGGCAGCAAGCTGGCCAAGGCTCCTGGACTTAAAGACTTTCAGATACAAGTGCAGCCAGTGCGGATGCAGAAACTGACCAAACTCCGTGAGGTGGGTTCCTGGGGTCCCACTGGGCAGGGTGTGCGTCCAGGTCCCCAACCTGGGCTGAGGGCCTCTGGGCCGGGCTGACCTGGGCCTGGGGTGGGGCAGCTGTGGCCCAGACGTGGGCCTTGTGGAACCCTGAACCTCCCCACCCCAAAAACCAGCCCACTGGGCAGCATGTCCTTCATAAATATCACCTTTCGTGCCTCTACCCTGCTCACTCGGGTGAGGTCAGCTGGTGTAGAGCTGCCACATTTCAAGGGGAAGGTGGGTATATGGAAGGACACGTGGGCCCTGAGTCCTGGGCTGTGTTTTCCTCTCTAACTGGAGCTGGTGGCTCACGAACAAGAAGCCTTTGATGGAGCACCTTGTCATGCCTAGGATGGGGCAAGGATGGAATGGCTTTTCCCTCTGTCTTGCCCCCCAAGCTTTCCTTCCTGATACCTGTTAACAAAGGGCCTCAAATCCATCCAAACATGGCCATGAGGGGCTGCTCCCCCTGTGGTGAATTTCTTCTAACACCCCTGATGTCCCTAACTGTCATTGGCCATCAAACCAGGCACAGCTGTCTCTCATGGGGCTACTGCCCTATTCATGGAATGACTGGGGGTCATCCAGAGATGCAGGGGGAGAGAGCCCAGGGTGTGAGGAAGAGAAGAGTTTAACAGGACAAAGAAATCCTTACCCAAGCTCCACTTCCCCAGAGGGCCAACCCAGGCCACAGGCCAAGGCAGCCGGGACTCCACAGTGGGGGGGGGCCTGGCGCCTGCACAGCTGGAGTTGGACGAGGCCCTCCTGGCTCCCCTACAGAGGGGCCGTGGGACAGGGAAGGAAATGAGGCACTTGACAGCGGTCAAGAGCAAGTGCGGGGCTGGGGGTCTGCACTAGCAGGAACGCGTTCCAACCATGGCCACTGTCCTGCACAGAAGCCTTCTGCATTGGAGGCTCCGGGGGAGCTGGGGCCTGGCTGCTGAGGTTAAAAACATTATACACGGAAAAGCCCACCTAGCCAGGAAGACCTCACTAACTAGCGGGTCAGCACAGGCCTGCAAGGGCCGCCCCTGCTGGGCCGCAGCCCCAGACCCCTGGGGAAGGTGACACCAAGGAGGCCAGACAGGCATTTGCCTTCACGTGCTTCTGGGCAGCAGAGGCCAGGCCAGGCAACAGACCACCCCCAGACCCCTGCCAGTTCCCCTCTGCAGCAAAGAAAACCACAGAGAACCTGGAGGCCCCATCCCACTAACCACTGCCCTGCGTCTGACCACACCTCCAGCCCAAGCCAGGGTGCTGAGAGCCGCTTGGTTGTGGGCCTCTGGTTAAGGAAACAGGTCAAGGGCCCTGGTGCATGACTTCCATCTGGGCCAGAGCTCCCTCTGCTGGCCCTTTCCTCTCCTTCACCGGGGAGGAAAACCGTCCAAGTGGCCTTTGCTACCGGGACACTGAAAATCCCCTTAGAAGCACAGGTCACAGGCCCAAGGAGCTCTGTGTGGCATTTCCACTTGGGAGCGCCGGTCTTGGACTTAGAACAGGTGTGAGCCTACCTGTGCCACATACCTGCCGTCAGCATCCCCATCTCTCCTCGGCTCTGCTGGCCGAAGCCCCAGGCAGCAGTGGCTATTGGCCTGCAGCCTTGGGACGGCAATCTGCAGGCCTCATTCGTCTGGAGAGTTTAACAACTCAAGAGGTGCTATCACAGGCCACTGAGGAACTGGGGGCAGGGGAGGCCACAAGTCCTGAGAGTGGGCACTCACTGCCCAGAATAACAAGGCCGGAAGCTCCAGGCAGCTCAGAGCACAGCCATGAGATCACAAACATTGTTTCCATCTTTGGCGGCTCCATACGCACCCAGGGGACCGTCCTATCCCCAGAGCCCTGGGCTCTGCTTCTGTTTGTCCTCCAGCCTTCAGCCACCATGTGGCTGGCAGCTCCCTCACCCTGAGGCTCACAGGCTTATTTAAAAAGCCGGCCATGCGAAGGACCATTCCTGACCCAAGGAATGGGGCACTGATGGTGGGGTTTCTAGCACCTTTACAGGCTGGGAGAGGAGCGGTCTTCCTGGTGCCCCTCAGATGTCGTGACTATCCCTGCCCCAAGTGCTGCCCCGTGAGGCTGAGGGGTCACAGAGCCATAGAACCAAGGGAAGAGTCCAGCCTGAGGTCACCATCTGAAACGTTGTCTTTCTTTTCCTAAAAAGGAGCACATCCTGCTAAGAAATCAGAACTTAGTGGGGCTCAAGCTTCCAGACCTTAGTGAAGCGGCTGAGCAGGAAAAAGGTAGGTGGGATCGGAGAGATGCTCTCCTCAGGCTGGGGATAGATTCATTTTCTCCAGATCAAAGAAGGTGAATGTGTAAACACTGCACATCCTGTCAGGGCCTTTGTCCATCCCAGTGGCGAGTGTGGGCCAGACGCAGAGCAGGCCCTCAGTAAATATTTGCAAATGGTTGAATAAGTGAATCAGATGGCGTTTCCTGCCCACTCAGAAAACCTCTAAACTTGTCTTCTTCCAACCAGCCCCGCTTCTGGACCCCTCCAGCCCTCCCTGAGCCTTGTTAGCACCTAGTGGGTCTGGAAGGGTGACCCAGGCCTGAACTTCTGATGCTTCCTTTTCCTGTTCCTCTCACACCCAGGAAGCCACCCAGATAGAACAGTTCCTCTTTTTGAGACATCAGAGTCATCTCTTGCTTTCTAATCTGCTGTCACTACAAAGTCCAGACCCCAGCCCTTCCCTCCTGGTGGCTGCAAGGCCCCACCCACCCACTTGCCAGACTCGCCTTCAGAAAGTAAAACTTGGGGTCTCTTGCCTCACCTCCACCCCAGCTCCCATCTCCTGACTCACTTCTCCCGATGGCTCACGCTACTCGTGGTCATTCTCAGCATAGAAACCTTCTGCTTAAGGATTGTTCTGTGGCTGTGTCCAGGGTGCCACCAACCATGTTGGAAGCCCCTAGTCTGAAATATAGTAACTAACACCTACCTATTCAACATTGACAAGAAGATTCCCAGAAGTAAAACATCCAACAATTATTTTTTTTTTTTTGGCAATCCAAAGTTATTGAACTACTGATGCTAAGTTATGCAAAATTGTACCACTTTAATTAAGGCTTTTAGTTTACGTTTGGCCACCTCAAAAGGAGTTGTAACATTAGATTGGTCAATTTAAATACTGTGGCTCCCTGTTGGATAGACACACAGTGTTTACACCCAAATGTTAGTGCATACAAAGCAACAAGGCATCGTTAAATAAAACAGCAATAGTTACTGCAACTTAGGCCTTGTGACCAATTACACATGATTAAAATTTCTTCCCACATTCACATCCACAGTACTCATCCACCATTTAACATCTCAACCAAAACGTTACACAAGTGAAACAATCACTAACAGGCAAAAATACTAAACCTGTATATTTGGTATTGCAAATACACTTATGCATGAGCAAGCAGGGGATTCACAGTGAGAATCTACAGCTGCAGAGCCTGAAAATGAACTACAAAAATTGTTAAATCATTAAAAGATTGTTTGAAAATATACACTTCTTGTTGTAGACCCCCCACTGTACACACAACTATAAACATTGTTCCCTATGTAAACAAAAAAGGAAACATAATAAAAGATTTGAAAAGTCTGGACATTTCCTTCCCAACAGATATTAAAGGCAACGTCTTTAAGACATTATACTGAAAGAACTATCATATCTTTTTTTGTTTTTTTTTTTTTGCGGTACGTGGGCCTCTCACTGTTGTGGCCTCTCCAGTTGTGGAGCACAGGCTCTGGACGTGCAGGCTCAGCGGCCATGGCTCACGGGCCCAGCCGCTCCGCAGCATGTGGGATCTTCCCGGACCGGGGCACGAACCCATGTCCCCTGCATCAGCAGGCGGACTCTCAACCACTGCGCCACCAGGGAAGCCCAGGACTATCATATCTTAAAGACAAGATCACTGTCTCCACAGATTTTTAAAAATTAAAAAACTATATCGCTGTGTTAAAACGCTTATCTGTACAATATAATGGTAATGACCTTGAATTTATGTTTTAAAAATTCAATAAGCTACAAGTATCAAAGAAGTGAAGTTATCTGGAGTACTCTATATAGGAGCTCTTTGGACTCTCTTCTATTATGCTAAAATAATAGTGGTGCTTTTAGGATTTACATTATTGTACTCTCCAATATAAAGTATGGGGCGTGTTAAAGTATACAGTACACCATTTTCATACATGTACAACATTGGTGGATGAAAAATGTCTCTTAACAGTAATACTGGATTGTAGCCTCTGGTTTTACCAGCTGCATACTCTAGGACTATTATATAAGTAAAAATCTCTCTTGTGATCCTGGAAAGTGATTAGAATGTGCAAACTGATGTAGTAGCTTTCATCCGCCCCTTAAAGGGTACCACCACAGAAAGTCCATTTAAGATGTTGGTAGGTTTAATAAAGTTGGAATGCTGGCACTGTTGAATTGGGCAATAGTTCTTCAGACCTGGCTCAGAGCTACAATGCATTTAGTATAATAAAGCAGCTGACATGACGACTTTTTGTGGGCCTTCCCAGGCACTGGAGTTTTTCTGTTAATTTGCCACACTAGGTCATAAAAGATCTCATTAACATTTATTTTTGATTTTACAGAGGATTCTAAGAACGCACTGTTGTTCCATTGTCTTGCTAAATTTTGACCTTGTTCCTTTCCTACAACTCTTTCATCTTCCAAGTCACACTTATTACCAACCAGAATCATTGGAGCATCATCAGCGTCTTTAACTTGAAGAATCTGTTCTCTCAGATCTTGTAAATCATTAAATATGGACTGTGATCTGATGGAATAAACTAACGCAAAGCCTTGTCCGTTTTTCACGTACAAATCCCTCATTGCTGTAAATTGTTCCGTTCCTGCAGTATCCAAGATTTCAAACATACACTGTTGTGCATTACTTCAACTTGCTTTCTATAAGAATCTTCTATCGTAGGATCATATTTTTCAACAAAAATTCCTTGAACAAATTGTACAGTCAGAGCAGATTTTCCAGCTCCTCCTGAGCCAAGAACGACTAGCTTATACTCACGCATGGTGCAAGCTTGTAAAATCTAGTACTTCTCGCACTGTCACCGGGTCCCCGCAGCCGGCGTCGCCTCGCGCTCCCTTCCGGGTCGCTGCTACCAGCGCTGCCGCTCCGGCTGGCTTACACGCCTGACTCTCCAACAATTTTTTAAAGTACTAATTAAAAAAAATTATTCATCTTTAGATGAAATCTTTGGGAAAATATGATATACTTCTCTACTTTTAATTTCGAACTTGTTTATTAAAGCAGATTTAAAACCCTAGGAAAAAATTTATCTTAAAATTTCACCCGCAACCCCATAAATTCTGAAAAAGCAAGTTTTTACTCTTTCCAGTATTTACCCTTATTTATAATTTTTTCACAATTGATTTGGTGGTGTAGATGTAACTCCCTGTTTCTACTTTTTTTTTTAAGATTTAATTTTATTTATTTTTGGCTACGTTGGGTTTTCGTTTGCTGTGCGTGGGCTTTTTCTAGTTGTGGTGAGCGGGGGCTACTCTTTGTTGCGGTGCACGGGCTTCTCACTGCGGTGGCTGCGGAGCACAGGCTCTGGGCGCGTGGGCTTCAGTAGTTGTGGCTCTGAGGCTCAGTAGTTGCGGCGCACAGGCTTAGTTGCTCTGCGATGTGTGGGGTCTTCCCAGTCCAAGAATCGAACCTGTGTCCCTTCCATTGGCAGGCGAATTCTTATCCACTGTGCCACCAGGGAAGTCTCCTGTTTCTACTTTTAAAATACTTATTTCACGACTAATTCCATTATAGTTTGACTTGTCCTCATATTTATCATTTAATGGGTGCATAGTTTCCTTTTGTATTGATGTATCTATTGTTGGATATTTCAGATGTTTACAGTTCTTTTAACTATGATTAACAGCACTACTATAAACAACTTTGTACTTGTAGGTTTTTTTCTTTCTTCCTCTAAGTTACTCTCTTGGGATAAATTCTCAGGCTTGAGAGTCACGGGGTCAAAGTGTAGGAATATTTGTAGGAATATTTGCATTTACCTTATTGCCTCCAATGGGTGATGCTCCCTGTAGACTGAGTGAGGGGTCTTCTCACTAAACACTACCTGCACTAGACTTTGCTTTGCTTTGCTTTTGCTCCTTATTGGCCAGAATGTAATGAGAACAAGATGATCCAAAATAACAATTACTACTATTAGTAGTAGTAGTGCGAAATACCGTTCCATTATTACTTCAATTAATTTGCTTAAACTTAAAATTTTAAAACATTTTTTTCTTAATGGGTGAATTAACTATTTATTTCTTTACTCATGTGTTCATTGGGTCTTGGGTTTTTTGTTGGTCATACATGTAGACCTTATAGATAGTAACCGTTCTTTGGCTGTATTTTTTGTCAATACTTTTTCATTTTTCTTTTTTATTTGCCTTTGAACAAATTTTGTATTATTTTAGAGAGATCATAAAGTTTTTATACAGTAATTTTAGCCTATCTTTTCCTTTGAAAATCTTCTATTATTTAAATCATTATAAAAATATTACTTCTCCTTAATTGGGATAGCAAATCTATTTTCTGGTAGTTTATCTACAGTTTGATTTATTTATATTTATTTTGCTAATACCTCTGAAATTTGTTTTAAGATATAGGTATTTGAAGACTTAAGATTCTGTTACCTCAATAATATTTTAATATTGTTTATATTTCTTATTACATTGTGGCTTAGATAATCATACACTGCATCTTTTTTTTAATGTATAGCAAAGACTGGTTCTGGGCCCTTGATTCTGTTTTATTCTGATCAGTATTGTACCATTTTAACTACTGCTGCCTTATAATATGTTCTAGTGTGCAGTGGGTTACTTCTCCCCCATTGCTCTTCTTTTTCAGAGTATTCATTATATTCTAGATACAAAGATTCAGTGCAAATTAGTAGAGCAACTGGACAAGAATTCAGGAGATTGGAGTTCATGGCCAGACACCACTTAACGGTGTCCAGTGTCTTTAAATATGTTCCTCAGCCTCTGTGGGCCTCTGTTCCCTATTGGACTAGGACACTTCAGAAAGCTCTTAACTGTAACCTAAGATTTATGGATTCCAGGTCTTTTCCAGTTTTGCCTCTCACCTACCTATTCTTTAAGTGAAATTTATGTCATCTTATACAACATTTTAATTGTGATTGCTCTAAGGCTACACACTGGATTCAGAACTGTCCTAGTTTTGTTTGTTTTACAGTTCATAGATTTTTCAGTTATTTAGTTTGCAAACATTTAGTTCTCATTCAGGCACGTGGTTTGTCCCTCTATTAATTTAAGTATTCCTTTCTTTTTCCTGTACTAGATTTAAGGATCTTTGTAAAGGTCTTCCATATCTCTTATAGAGACAAATTCTACATGATTTATATTTTTGCTTATTTATGAAGACTTTTTTCATTAGATTTTCCTAACTGATAATTAGTGTCATAGATGAATGCTGCTTGGTATTATACATGTTTCTTGTATAATAAATATTACTGTTAACAAATGGTAGTGATTACAATAGTGGTTAAGTAGCATGGTTATGATAACTAGGGTGATTACTATGTACCAGGACCCATGCTAAGCATTTGACAATATTTCGCTTAATGCTTACAACAACCCTGAGGGGTGGGTCTTATTATACCCATTTTGCAGATGAGGAAATTGATTCAGGGAGATGGTAATTAACTGCTAAAGCCAGGATTGGAACCCAGATGTGTCTAAATCCAAAGGCTCTTGACCACTTTGCAAAATACCTCATTTTTTCACATTCACAATCTGTTATTTTATTTTATCAAATTCACTATTTGTCTTAGTTGTGTGCTTGTGCATGTGTATGTGTCTTTCTCTTGTATATCTGTATATGGTTTATTATTTTGGCAACATTCTCTAATATGACAATGGTGATAAGGAGAACTCTTGCCTTTTTTCTGTTTTTAATTGAATTTTTTGTGTGTTTTTCTTTCAAGGACCATGTTGTACCTAATTATTAAATAGATGCACTATTTTAACTTTTTATTATTATTTCATATTTATATTATCACTAAATAGAAGAACATATAATATGTAGAAAGATAAAATATATAAAATATAAAAATATATTATTTCATGTATTATTTTATATTTTTATTTTTCATTATTTTAAGGAAATATATTCTTCTCTTCCGAGTTTTAAGATTCATGTTGAATTTTGTCAATTTGTTTTGCATATCTATTTAAAGAATCATATAAATTATATCATTTAATATATTAATTAATAATTTTCCATATATAGAAATAAACCCTTATGGTCCTGCAATAAAATGCATGTGGTCATGGTGTACTTTCTTTTATATTTACTACCAAATTTTCTATGTAAGTAACTCTTTTAAAGTATTCTGCAACCTTCCTGCTTTAATTAAGATAAAATCTAAGTTGCTTTGACATGAGGCCCCAAAGTTTGCTAACCTATAGGAGAGAGAAGATTGTTTCATGCTTAAGTAACAATTCTAAGGTGAGCTGTCGGGTTACAGGTGGCTCTGCTCCATGTGATCATTTGGAGACCCTGGTTTCTTCTCTGTTGTCATTTTGCCATCCCCTGAGGTATTACACTTGTCTACATGGTTGAAGCTGGATCATGGGTAAATCTGTGTTCCAGTTTGTAGGAAGGTGAAACAATGGAAGTTCAGAGCAGGCTTTTTTTTTTTTTTTTAAGTAAACTGGGAGTTGCATATCTCTTTTTAGCTCCCAGTTCATTGGTGATGATGTGGCATGGCAATACCTAGCAGCAAGGGATACTGGGGAATGTTGTCACTAGCTGGGCTGCTGGCCATATGTCCATGTTAAACTCCTTTCACATGGAAGCTGAGGAGGGCAGATTTTGGTGGATGACCAGTTGTCTCTGTCACATTGTCTTTCTTACATAACAATATTAGAAAGTTTCTCATTTAGTGCATATGGAGCTTTTAGTTTTTTAATAAAATTTAATACTGCTTTGTAGCATTCTGTGGTATGAGGAACTATATAAATTGTTTGACCTTTCTCTTATTGATTACTATTTAGGTTGTTTGTATTCTTTCTCTACTATAAACGATGTTATAATGAACATTCTCCATGATATATCTTTATAGAAATGCATGAGTTTTTCCATGGGATAGTATCTTAGAAGTAGAATTGCTTGATCAAAAGGTATTTATATTTAAATATATATGCATACTGCCAAGTTAACTTACAAAAAATTATAACAATGTAGACATCCACTACTACAGCAACACCTCACTATCTAATACCAACAGGGAACAAGATGGATCTTAGAAATAAAATTACCAGGTAAATGAGTTTGATTCCTATAAACACTAAATTGTAAAAAATTAACCATGGAAGGTGTTCAGTAAAGGTACCCTCCCTCCCACTTTTCTCTCATTTCTAGAATCTGAGTGGTTAAAAGCTCAAGCTTTCCCACTTACCAGCTGCATAGCCTCAGGCAAGTTTCTTATGCTCTAGATGCCTTGTTTGCTCATCTATAAAATGGGGGTAAGAATAGTACCTACCTCACTGAGCTGATGTAATGTTTTTATGCGATACTGGTCTTTATTCCAGCAGGAACCTGTCATACATTTTAATTCCTGTCACCAAGGTTGTAGAATTCTTTCTTGCCAGCTAAGTGGGACATTGTACTCTGTGCTCCACAGTACATAGGGCAGTCTGGAGATGTGGCGGGCAACCACATGTGCTTGATCAGCAGAGTTGTGACTTCCTTTTCCTACATTCTGAAAGCTCCAACAAAGAGCCTCGTCCCCGCCTGTACCTGGGACCAAAGGTATTGTAAACCCCCCCTGGGAGCTAGAGAGTCTGGCCCCCTTAACAGGTTCTAAATACAACAGTGCGTATGAGCTCATTGGCTGTTCCTTTGGGAGATGGGGAAAATCTAGAACATTCTGGAGTCTTAAGAACTTTGGCTCTCCTTCGGTTTCTGAGGACTTGGAGACTCTCTTCCCTGTTGTATCTGGTCTTTCCAACAAGCCAACCAGTTCTCTTCACAGGGACCCTTTGAAGGATGTTTGGGTCTTGATCATCTGCAGGTCATTTCAAGCCAAAGACATGAGGCTGAC